AACTCAAAATATGATTATATATATGATTATATATATATATATATATATATATATATATATATATATATATATATATATATATATATATATATATATATATATATATATATATATATATATATATATATATCTATATATATATATATATATAAATTAAGGTACAACAATCAACAAAATCCACTAGGCATCTTTATTACTAAATAGTTTCGTACCACAAAATGTGGCACTCTTAAATATGCACTCTTATATGTGGCACTTTTAAATATGCTCTGGTTTTCCATTGAGCACTTTACCAAAAGTTTTTATAACCAACGATATATATATATATATATATATATATATATATATATATATATATATATATATATATATATATTTAAATTTCGTGCGCAAGCCATTTTTACTTTGTTGGAAAAGACACCTCCCCCCCTGGTTCACAAAATTTGAGTTCGAGAAATTTTTTTCATTATTCTACATTATAACTTTACAAACTTGTTTATGGTTATTACAAAATACAAGTGCATTTTAATTTTTAAGCACATATGTTTCAATCCAAACATCACTATTGGTTGATTTTTCGAACATATGATACGCACGTGACCAGGAAGTAACAGGATATTAGCATTCAAAGATTCAATAATAAAATTCAATAATTCAATCTTAATATGACTCAAGACTGATTTTAACGACTCGGGCTTATATAGGAATCAAATATTCAAGATTTCAATCTTAAAATTCAATTGTTCGATCTTAGGATTCAATGGGATCCCAACTTAGAATTCAATACTAGGATTCATATCTTAGACTATCAAGGATTCAATCTAAGGATTTGATGATTTAGTCATAGGATTCAAGAATTACATCATAGGATTTAAAGATTCAATCATTCAAGAGTTCAGTTTTCGATTCGAGAGGTTATAGTGATTCAATTTCAGGATTCAAAATTGCAAGAATTCGATCTATGAATTCAATTATTTAAATCCTAGGGTTTATAATCTTCTGCAGGGCGCTAGGGTGGTTGCGCGGGGCCGGGAAGAAAAATTTCCCAGCGGGCCGTTATGACGTCATAATTGTAAAACGGGAGAAGCGGTGTTTTACAACATATTAGACTTTATTGCATATTATCCGCAACTAATGCAGCTACGATTTATATTCTCAGTACGTTAAGCAATCTTAAGTGCCTTCGTTGCTTTGGGGGGGGGGGCTTTTGAGCTGGAGGGGCGGGGTAAAGTGTCCACCCCTCGGCGAGCGTGATCTTCCGATTGAAGTATCCAGTCTAAAGATTCTGGATTTCAAGCACTTAATCTTACTAGGATTCAAGAACTCAATTAATCTTAGGATTCAATGACTGAATGTGTTGCGAGGATTGAAGATTTTATGAGCTTGAACATTCTTAAGTGATTCAATCTTTAAATATCTTTAAGCTTATAGTGGGCTTATATTCGTTCGTAAGCATTTATACGGGCTTATACACGGGTGGGCTTATATTCGGGTGGGCTTATATTCGAGTGGGCTTATATTCGGGTAGGCTTATATTCGGGTGGGCTTATATTCGAGTGGGCTTATATTTGGGTGGGCTTATATTCGGAAGTTTACAGTATGTCGATTCATTTCTGTATGATATATAGTATCAATAATATCTAATGATTTTCCGTTTTTTAAAAAACTATTGTATAGTATCATCTTAAGCCTTTTCTGTTCAGGCTTGATTCTTTCGATGGTTCTCACAGGTTGTACATGTAGGGCAAGGCTTCAAATTGTTAATTTTTGTGAGTTATTTTAGATTCATATATATAACAACTGTGTATTTCAAGCTTAGATTGGATTGCATAGTAATGTGTGTATGCGCCTCGCACTCCCTCAAAAACGAGTCACCAAATTAAGGTTTTGTTTCCTAATCCGGTTTGCTCAAGCACAACTTTTAGTTTGTGCTGCTATTTGGTACCCAATGCCAGCGGACCTAAATATATGAGTACACTGCCTCATAAATGTCTTCCAAACATAATGTACTACCTGCCTGTAAAGGGGATTAATAAAATTATATTAGGCGGAAAAAAAGAAGGTAGCATAATATATCCCTCTTTCTGGCAGCGAAATCGAAATATAAAATTTTCCTGTGTAAGTCAAATATAAACTTCCTGCATTAGTAAATTTCAGGGGACGTATGGTCCCCCACAGCGTGCTAATCTCGGCACAAGACAATCTCGACTTGTAAAACGTTCTTGTAAACAATTTAATCATTTATAATTATATAGCATTTATTCCTGCATGTATATAAGATAACACGATGTAATAAAATTTAGTTACAAAATCACAAAAATATGAAATGAAAGTTCCTTTGCATTTGTTCCTTTCACAAAGGCACAAGAAAATGAAAGTATGATGGGGAAAGCAACAGCCATGCAGTAAGTTTCGCTATCATGCAGAATGAAACCCAGCAAGAAACTGACGCGCGAAGACAACAATAGTTGTCGAAAGATTTCAGAAACTAAATGTTTTCAGTACCCGTTTATCCTGTTTACACACCCGTTTACCCTGAAAGGTATATTATACACAATGACATCAAAAGCAACGTCTTGATATTTTTATGCTTACGTTGTTGCAATGAGAACGGTGCATAAGAAACCACTAGGTTAATAGTTTGATCATTTTATTCTTGAAGTCGTTGTAATGAAAACTATTAGAATGTTAGGGTTTGTTATCCAAGTGAGAATATATACATTTTAAGACCTAACCAGGAACGACTGCGAAAAATGCAGCACAAGGTCCTCTGGTAGGAATTGAACCTACGGCCTTGCGATTCCGGTGCAGCGCTCTAACCAACTGAGCTACAGAGGCCAGCTGTTGGGCTGTAACCGTACGTTCATGTATATATAGGTAATCGGGTGTGCGGGTTATGATAAGTAATCGGGTGTGCGGGTCGTGATATATATAGGTAATCGGGTGTGCGGGTTGTGAAAACTATGGCGTCAGATTTCAGCCAATATTCATGTCGATATTAATTCAACATGTTTCCGCCATTGAACATATCAAATTCAGCATGCCGCTTTGATCCAACATTGCTTTAATTTCAACATGTTTCCCTCATTACACTGGCCTGTAAGCCAAGTGTCTTAAATCCCTCTTTTTCTGGGGTTTTTTCCGTACTCGAGAAATGGAGTTTGCGTTAGCTCATCGCAGGCTCAGGGTGCAACGATTAAGCCAAAATGCCATCGATTCCCTCGGTTTCACGATTTAGATAGTATAGTAATAAGTTCGTATTTATGTACGTAATAGTCGACTCATGCCATGCTTGTGGTATATTTTTCGTTTATTAGCCCATACACTTGTACGCACGCGCACAATTCCGAACTCCAATGGCGACTTTTCACAGCGTGATCAAACTATATTTTACACAGTTTCGTTGAATTTTCAGAGAAAATGGTTTCCTATGGATTTTACGTTGTGTCGTACTCTGGACTTTCTTGCGTGTTGAATTAATGTGTTTTTCTTTGTGTAACGACTCGAAAACCATAAAATTTGGACCCAGCGAATTTATACAACATATAGAAGGATATTTAAACAAGGACAAGTTAAAGGTTTGACTGTTTGACTTTTTAATAAACAACTATAAATATACGTCGTGGACTCATAACATCCATTGTGTACTTGTGTTAACTTTTTGCGTCGCACTCTGGACTTTCTTGCCTAATTTCATAAATTTGTCCCAGCGAATTTATACAATATATTGGAATATAAACAAGGACAAACTCTCCTAATTCCTTACGATAGTTTTAATCAAATGTCGACAATATACCTTTAAATACATGTATTAAAATCCGCGCAGTACTAGAATTAAGAGAATTCGCATAGCGCTGGCCGCTGAGTGCAGAAATTTTAGTACTGCGTGAAATATAATCCGCGCGAAAAGCTTTGTTGTAGCTATACTAAAGATAAGGAGTGCGTTCAAAATATCAACAAGAACTAGAACCATTATTGTATGGTTCTTATTTGCTAGACTTGCCGCAAGTCGACCTCGAAGAAACGCATTTCGTTTGAG